CTGTGTGTGTGTCTCTCTGTGTGTGTGTGTGTGTGTGTGTGAGTGTGTGTCTCTCTGTGTGTGTCTCTCTGTGTGTGTGTGTGTGTGTGTGTGAGTGTGTGTCTCTCTGTGTGTGTCTCTCTGTGTGTGTGTCTCTGTGTGTGTGTGTGTGTGTGTCTCTCTGTGTGTGTCTCTCTGTGTGTGTGTGTGTATTTCTTCATACATGGTTCTGTAAATTGAAGCATGGAAGTTTATTCCATAAAAGTGCCTGATGCTGCCGTCATAATTCCAACTTTAACGCCTGAAATCACAATTCCTGCATGGATTCAGGCTGTGCTGCTGACACACGTCCGAATCCCTCGGCAAGCGCTGAATCCCTGCTGGGAATCTGGGAATGAGCCAGAACGACACAGAAAGAAAGAGGGATGGATAAAGCGGCTTCGGCTATAAGGAAACTTTGGTGCATTTCTTCATACATGGTTCTGTAAATCGAAGCATGGAAGTTTATTCCATAAAAGTGCCTGATGCTGCCGTCATAATTCCAACTTTAACACCTGAAATCACAATTCCTGCATGGATTCAGGCTGTGCTGCTGACACACGTCCGAATCCCTCGGCAAGCGCTGAATCCCTGCTGGGAATCTGGGAATGAGCCAGAACGACACAGAAAGAAAGAGGGATGGATAAAGCGGCTTCGGCTATAAGGAAACTTTGGTGCGATGCGACCGATTTCCATGACGATGTTTTTCATGTTTGCACAGTTCACAATTATCCTGATCCCACAAAATCCAGGCATTCCAGTGCCGACTGTTGATCTGAATCTGAGCAAGAACCAGCGTCACAGAGCAGCCCGTTATCATTAGACCCGGAGATCCCGCGCTGGAGGAATGAAGCACATTAAGGATGGAGCAAGACTTTGGATTCATCGTGTTTAACTGTTGACTGCTTTTACTGGACATGATCAAGTTAAACTCATATTCTGGAATGTTTAATGCATTTATAAGAGTTTGCCCTCTGGGAATATTTAGCTCTATTATTCCAAAAGTTTGGAATTATTACGATTATTTTTTAATGTTTTTGAAAAAGTCTCTTCTGCTCACCAAGGCTGCATTTATTTGATTAAAAATACAGTAAAAGCAGTAAAATAGTGAAATATTTTTACAATTTCAAACAGCTGTTTTCTATTTGAGTATCTGTTGAACTGTAATTTATTTCTGTGATGCGCAGCTGTATTTTCAGCATCATTACTCCAGTCTTCAGTGTCACATGATCTTCAGAAATCAGTATAATATGCTGATTTGCTGCTCAAGAAACATTTATGATTATTATCAATGTTGGAAACAGTTGTGCTGCACAATATTTTAGTGGAAACCATGATGCTATACTATAATTTGTAATTTTTTAAAAGAAATTAATAGTTTTATTCAGCAAGGACACATTTAATTGATCAAAAGTGCATAGCATATAAAATCCATTTAGATACAACGTTTTAACAAACTAATAAACTTAATGTGTTTTATATTTGTCAGTCATACATTAATGAAACAGGTCAGATTTCTGCACTCAAATAAATCATTCCATAGTTAATAATTAGATCATTTTGATTTGATTTAAATAATTATATTTTGTAAAAAAAAAATATATATATTAAATAAAATATATAAATATATATATATATTATTCATTTTTATATATTTTAATCGTTTTATTTAAATGGTCATATTTTAAAATATTTTTATATTTTATATTCTATTCTTTTTTTATACTTTACCCCAAAATCAAAAGAAATTCTATTTTGCTCATAGAAAATTAAGTCTATTTTTTGGGAGGCACTGTTACAATATTTCCCTTACTGTAAAACTAAAAATAAATAAAATAAATAAATCTCATTATCATAATACAAAAACATATACATATTAAAACATATAATTTTATTTAAATGGTCACACATCACACATATGCTTGTGTGTATATATTATATTATATTATTAAATAAAACATTAAAAAATCTTAATGATTCCAAACTCTCTCTCATGAGTTTTATAGGGATTACATTTATAATGTGCAATTTCAAGCAGATGAAAATGTTTGTTCATTAATGTTTGACTTTGAATGATGAATTTTTAACAATTTCATAATTGCTATATTTCCAGGTTTATTTCAGGTTTTGCTATATTTTCACGATTGTAGAACCATGTACATACAAGTGTTTTAGTGATTAAAACCTGTGCAATAATCAATTCAGGACTGTTCAATATTTCAATTATTTATTTATTCAAAGTGTTCTTTTGAATTCACGCCACCCGATACAAAACATTTTTACCGTCGTCCCTGTAGGTTTGCCTTAAATTGTAGATCAGCTGTAGTTCCCTTCCGAGGGAACTTCGAACAGTGTCCTCTAGGGGTCGCTATGGAGACTAGAGGACGCAGTGTCTCGTTCCCTTCTCAGGGAACCATGGGTACATACGTAACCTGAGGTGTTCCCTTCCGAGGGAACTTTGAACTGTGTCCTCTAGTCTCCATAGCGACCCCTAGAGGACGCAGTGTCTCGTTCCCTTCTCAGGGAACCATGGGTACATACGTAACCTGAGGTGTTCCCTTCCGAGGGAACTTTGAACTGTGTCCTCTAGTCTCCATAGCGACCCCTAGAGGACGCAGTGTCTCGTTCCCTTCTCAGGGAACCATGGTTACATACGTAACCTGAGATGTTTTTCGGACACATTCGGGTGTGTTTCTACCTTCAGGGCTTTCTGTGCGGCTTCGCTGGATCCGATGGCGATGAGATCCGGTCCGGCCATGCTGCAGAAACTCTTCAGATGGAGTCTGTCCTGAATGGGAACCGTGGACACGGCGTAGTCCTGTAAAACAGAGTCCAGTCGGGACACACATCACCACAAAAGCATTTTGGCTCAGACTGGAGAAACATTCGCTTATAAAAACAGAATGAAAATATTGTGTACTCTAAATAAACTACTAGCGCATTGGCTAAGCGGGTAAACAAAGGGGGAAAAACGGTTCGCTTATTGGAAAAACACGCCTAAAGCACTCCAGACTTTGGAAGGAGGAGAAAATGTGCTCCGAGATTCTTGCGGTGAGAACAAGTGACTGTTTTTGTGGAAAGTATGGATGTATTTATAAAAACCGTTGTCTGTTGTACTATGAACACGTTTGATAAAGCAGCTCTGCTTTCACTTTAGCGACCCGGGTGACTTTGCTCTGCTTAAAAGTTTCCATAAACCATTGGCACGTGAACGATAAGGAGCTGCAGGCATCCTCGAGCTCGTTTGCGGCTCGTTACGAACTTGTGACGTTAAAAAGCATCTGTGCAAAGAATGTTCCGTTCTTACGATCGGCATTTGATTTTCATTGAGGAAATCATTGAGGAAAAATGTGGTTCTCAGTCTGCGGAAGCAGCGCTGCAGAAGAAAAACATCCTCAACGTAGCTTAACCTGATCCACACTAAACACTGAGAGACTGAGAATGAAGAGAAGAGGAGGAAAGGCAGACAGGGTAGATGTATAGACTGACAGAACAATAGATATATAGAGTGAGAACGATATAGACAAATAGACAGACAGACAGCTAGATATATAGACAGATGGATAGATAGATATATAGACTGGCAGACGGATGGATGGATAGATAGATAGATAAATAGACAGACAGACAGACAGACAGATATATATATATATATATACTGGCAGACGGATAGATAGATAAATAGACACATATATAGACAGATGGATAGATAGATATATAGACTGACAGATAGATAGATAGATAGACAGACAGACAGACAGACAGACA